GGTGTGTGTCATTGGCAGTCTGTTTTAGTCCCAGTGTACTTTAGTGCAAATCAGAGCCAGTCCTTCCTTCCTGTAAGCGCTGCAGTTTTCAGAGCATGAGCCAGAGTTCAGCTACTACCTGTTCTCTTGGCTAAGCAAGTGCCCAGCCTGAATAGCTACACATGGAAACCTGTACACTGACCTTCCCTAGGTTAACTTTTCAGATGTCCTCACCAAGGAGGGGGGAAGGAAGAGAGAACACACTAAAAAATAAGTACATAATTAACATGTTGACTTTATATATACCCATATATGTATTCACACATATCACACACATAAACACACACCACAATCAGTTCTTGCCTGCCTCCCAGGACACTTTCCCTCCCATTAGTCAGGTCTCTGGCCTTCTGTAAGACCAGTCCATTTTGGCTCAGGAACAAATGGAAACACAGAGCTGATGGTTAGCAGGACAGGTTCATGTGGATGATGGTTTCATCTAGAAGGAGAATGAGAGCCAACATTCTAGACAGGCCCGATGGAAAGCCATGTCCACATTGCTGAAATCCTGAAGGAGGATTTTACCCAGCAGCCCTGACTGCAGCCCACTCCTAACCAGCTCCTTTAGGTACTGCCAAACTGCCAAACGGCAAAAAGGCTGTGCTTTCCCCAGGCACAGTCTGAGTGGACACTGCTGTTGGATGCTCACTCAGAGGTGGTCATTCACCAGGGCAGCTGTCCATGGCAACAGGGCTACTGGGGTACCTTGACATGGCAGCCCCTCCCAACTGCTACATCCCTCTTCCCCGGGCAGGAAACAGATCTGAGAAGGGTCCTGTCTACGTCTAGAATGTGTCAAACCTTACGTGGTATAATTCAGTCCTCGATCTAAATCCTGTCTTGATTTGGCAGGACCAAAGGGGTAGTCCTCTCCTTCCCATGATTCCCTTTGTCATATGGAGAAGGCTGGGTAGCTCTCCTGCCTTGCATATGAGGCAGCCCAACAGAGAGGTGGTGGAGACACAGGACACTTGAAGATGGGCCTGTGAGACTTTTTAAAGGATGTTTTCTGCTTGGTTTTGCCAGAAGATGACAAGATCTCAAAATGAGTGGTGAGTTTAAGACATACTGACAGCAACAGTAACAAAGCACCAATTAGAACCCTGGTTGACTGGTGTCAGAAGGCAAAGCAAATGGTTCAGGAATGAGCCAAAAGCTTATTTCCAGCAGAAATAATTTCTCAGAGGCTTAAGGAGCAGAGAACCAGGCTTCTTTCAACAGCCACATATCCAAATGGAAAAGGAATGTTTACCTCGGAGAGAGAAAAAGAACTAGATGAGTCTCTTCTACTAAATGGTCAAGGGTAGGCACCTTGCAGAGATTAGCAGAGAGGATTTACATTTGAAAAATGAAGAAAGGAAAAAGATGGATTGCTTTGGGGACAAAGTACAGAAAGTTTGTCCATATAAGATGTAAAGACTGGGCAAGAAGGAAAACACTGAGCTGGGCTGGGCTTGGACCGCTTAGCCACTAGCTTGATGTTGAGAGACTGCTCGGGAAGAGGGAAGATCACTAATAAGAGGAGCAGGGAGGAGCGGGCTCTGGCCAGCCCGGAGAAGCTGAGAGCCAGTTCTCTAACAGAGGCACGGCAGGCACTATTCTTTTGGAATACACTCTCCACTATGGCTCAGGTGGAGGAGAGGGAAAAGAGGGCCAATCACACACATGGGGAAAGAAAACAAAGAAAAAAAATTGTGTCTATGATATGGGTCAGGAGATTCCTGGCCAGATGGACAAGAGCAGAGGATTATTTTCAATTAACATGGGACCCCTGCAAGGCACCCAAGCCAGTGACAGGAAGTGCTGAGCTTAGCTGAGAGCTGGGGAAAGGGCAGAGCTGCCTGTTAAAACAAGGTCACTAACAGAAGAAGAGAAAGCAGGAAACTATCAGGGCAAGGTATCTGCCAGGGTGTGGGTACTATGTAGAGAGGTCACCCAAGAGAGTCAAACTGGGGGGACAAGGAATGGTGTGTGATGGGATGAGCCTGGGAGGATGGAACAGCCATGGTTCCAGCAGTATTCTATCCATTTCCAACAAAGATGGAGAACAACGGTGCTGTGGAGTCAAGGGACTGAGAAGATTCTAGCCTGTTCCTTCTATTGACATCAGGAGAGGCTTGATGCAACTGGCTTTATAGCCTTTGCAGATGCTCTTCCCTTGCTGCCTTTTCTTGCCCTGGCTTCCCTGGCCCTACTTCAAGCCTCAATCTAGGTACTTCCTCCCTGGGAAGGCTTGCTTGGCTCTACTCTTCCTCTTCTCTCCATCCTGCAGGCAAGAGGCTCCCATGCTAGCCAGTACCCACTCTATCCCTGGCTTAGTTGTGCCATCTTCTTATTAACTTTGCCTTTCAGACTGAATTTCTAGGTCTTAGTCCATGATCTCCTATGGTGAGGGACTCACTGTGTGCTAGCTGAGTGAATAAATGTCTGAGATTTGCCAAAAGCAAGGACACTCATGGGCCCTCTGGTGTTAAGCACCCGAGTTCCTCAAGTAGATGCCAGAGCTTCTCCCTAAATCCTTGGAGGCCGCTGGGCACCACAGTTAGCCAGGCCTGCTCTCAACACCTGAGTTCACCCCAGAGTGACTAGAGTACAGAGGATTTGCACCTAGGCCGCAGCATCTTCCTCCACTCTTGAGCCAGACACACGCTAGGATGGAACTGAGAGGACTGGGAGGCAGAGAATTCACTCCTCCAAAAGCAAGATAATAAATGGGGGTGGGGACTGGATGGGTAGAACTCTAGGAGGGGCCGGCTCAGAGCTCAGCCAACAGAGCTAAACCACACACTTCCAAGGTCAAAGAGGCTCACGTTTAAGAAGCCAGACCTGGTATCTCATCCTGTAATCCTAGCACTGGGGAGGCTGAAGGTGGAGGATTTCCAAGAGTTCCAGGTCTACTTAGGCTGTATAGTGAGTTCCTAGCCAGTCTGAGCTATAGAAAAAGGTAAGAAAAAAGTGTTTTTCTTACTCACTGGCCACTAGGATGAGATATGTTGTTAGGACACAGCCTTGGGAATAGGGTCTCCAGATGAAATTCAGCATAGGAACCAGTCAGAGAATAAGGCAGTAAGTCAGACTGAGGAGGAATACACCAGGGGCCTTCCAACAGTACAGATGGAAGTAGACGGCTGTTTGGCTACGTGCTACTTAACTCTTCTTTTGCCCCTAGGCTGAGAATACGGACTTACCAGTGTTAGGCTTGGTTCCAGAACCAGGGAGCAGGATGTCTGAATGCTTTTTCTTTAATGGAAAGGCCTAGTTTCCAGTTTCACTGTGGCAGGGAGCTAAGCACTGTTTAGGAGAAGGCAGACATCTGAGAAAGACTGAGTTTCTCCCGGCCCATTGAGTCCTTTGTTTGCACGGACACTGTCACTCATCAGGGACTCTGAGGCCAAGGGAAGCCTCACTCAATCAATCACATGTGCCCTGTCCTAGCCATTTCAGTTCTAACAAGCATTTATATCCTTGGCTAATCAAAGTGGGAACTTGGTGGGAGATAGGGGAATGTGTGGTCTCTTCTTCCCATTGTTTAGTTTGCTAGAAACAATATCTTGGAAAATGAAGAACTGGGTAGTTCGAGATGCCACTCTTCATTCTCCAATCTTCCTAAAACTGCTGTATGTAAGATGCTTAAAATCCTGTACACAGACAAACATGCCCAAGTTCTTTACAGGTTCCCCTTTCCAGAAACCTCCAAAAAGTCCATTGAAGAGAGTTATGGTAAGCAGTTGTATTTAGGGATGAGCATTCTTTATTCATAAGGTTTGAACCCCAGCATGGTGATTCATGCTTGTACCCAGCACTTGAGAGGCTAAAGCTCAGGAGTTCAAGTCAGTCTCAAGTATGCAGTGAGTTTTAAGTTATCCTAGGCTACATGAGACCCTATTTTAAAACAAAACAAAACAAAACAAAGCAAAACAAAATACTCAAAACAAAATGTGAGCTGGGGAGACGGCTCAGTCAGTCATCAATCAAACACTTGCCATGCATAAGGACCTGAATTCAATCTCCAGAACCCATAAAAAATCCAAACAAAAACCAAAACAATAGCAACAAAAAACCAGTCAGGATGATGGTAGTCACTTATAACCTCAGTACTGGTAAGGCAGAAATATACAGATCCCTGGGGCTTACAGACCTTGAGCCAGCCTAGCCTACTTGGTTAGCTTCAGGCCAGAGAGAAAGAGAATCTGTCTCAAAAGCAAACAAGGTGGGCAATACCTGTGGAATGACACTGAAGACTGACCCCCCCACATACCTTTACATATATGTGTACATACATGAACATGTATACACACACAAAATGTGAGGGATGGTAGCTCACATCTATAATTTCAGTGGATGCGGAACAGAGACAGGAGTCTTTCCAAGTGTTTAAGTTTAGCCTGAGTTACACACTGAGACACTATTTCAAAAGAAAACAAAAAAACAAAATCAAATAATAAAACTATTCTGGCATGAGACCAGAGATTTTGAATTTCATAGCTTTGATGTCTTGAAGATGAGATCAAATATCTACATAAAATCTGAGTTTCACACACAGCCTGAGATGATTTGCTATGATATTGTTAGTGCAGCTACATCTTGACTGTGGCGTGTATCATGAAGTCAGGTATGGAACGTTGCACTTGTGTGTTATGTCAATGCTTAAAAAGTTTTGGATTTGGAATTTGGTGTTAGGGCTCAGCTCCTAATAGTAGTTAAAGGTTGAGGAGTTGGCTGTTTAGAAGAGAATTGTTTAAAAAAAAATCTTGGGGTCTGTCAATTTCTGTGATGTAAATATTTTGGCAATGGCTGATTTCAGACTACCAAGATCATGTCATAAAATATAAAGACAGGAAGAGTATGAACTTGCATCTCTCACAAACCAGCACAGGCCCAGGGTACCTGCACATGGCTGGCTCTGAGACGCATGCTAACCTTAGGCTTCTCCTGCCTTGAGATGGTCAGTCTGTACTTACCTCTCTCAAAGGAATTCTTGATGTCATTGACTTCAACCTGAGACCCTGGAACTCTGAAGATTCCCTGCTGCTGGAGTCCTAAAAATGAAACCACAGCAAAAGCAACAAATGACATGAGACCTTGAGCTCATTAGGCCACTGGAAATATGGGTGATGCTCCCCCATGGGTTATTTCTTTCTCCTTCCATCCTTTATAATAGAGTAATTCCCGACGAAGATCTCCTAGCAGAAACCCAAAACTGGTCTTAAACTACAGATGGCCAAAATATCCAGACACACACAAACTCATGGTCTGTGAACTCGAGCCTAGGCCTAAAGAAAAAGGCCACTGACATTTATATCAACACTATTCTTTCCCTGACACTTGGATGACTTGATCCTTTAAGACAAGTTAGATTCCATAGTACAAACTGGTCTAGGAAGCAAGAAGTTGGGAAATTAGAGATGTAGTTAAGTGTTAGAGCATTTTCCTTGTGTACACAAGGTCCTGGGTTCAGTCTCAGGCAAATAATAATAATAATAATAATAATAATAATAATAATAATATAGCTGGGCAGAATGGCTTATTTGTAAGGCCGAGGCTGAGGCAGGAGGATTATGTAGATTTCAAGCCAGCCTGGACTACAGAATAAAACCCTTTCACAAGTTCCAGGGTACCTGCACAAGAAAAAAAAAAAAAAAAAAAAAAATTCAAAAGGAACATTTTTTTTTTTTAAAAAAAAAAAAAAAAATTTGATGTGGGAGACTCAATTATTAAAGAATACTCACACATTTCTTTCTTTTTTGTTTTACATGCTTGCAAAACTATGACAAAGCAGAGACTCTGATAAAGAAAAATAAAGACTCTGACGAAGCAGCCATGATCAACACCAACCTATACAGGTGGAGGAATCAAGGGTCCTACCTTGGCTCAAATGGAAATTACTACAGGTGGCTGGGCACCTTTCCCTGTCTCAGGTGTTCTGGGCATAACAGTTCTTCATGCTATAATTTACTGTATACACTTAAGAGTCATGGTTTAGTGGACATTGTGCTCAGACATGCTACGTGCTCAATAAACATTGTTCAACTCTTTTGTTGTTTAAGCCCTTTTTTTTTGACTGAGGTTAACCACTAGATGGCAGAAATTGACATCAGGTGTTATGCTTACTGTTAAACAAGGTATGTGCCTGAATATTTAGATTATGACACCATGTAGCCCATGCTGGCCTTGAACTTACTATGTAGCATAGGCCAGCACTGAACTCTTGGTGATCCTCCTGCCTCAACCTCTGTAGGGTTGAGATGACAGGCATGCACTACCATGCACATGGCTTTGTTCATCTGTTTAGCTAATCAATACTGAGTTTCTGCCACCCAAGTGTCTGCTCCCATGCCTCTGCCTCATTACCCCCACTTCCACCTGCCATCCCTTCCACCTGCCATTCCTCATTCTCCCCACTCAAAATGCATGGCGACTTTCCCAATGCCCTTTTCCGATTGGAATCAAGCAGCCTAACCCCCAAAGTCACTATCCACCCTCCTTTTTATTAATTCACCAGTAGTGCCACTATGTGAATTATATTATAATCAACTATTGTATTCATGGGCTCCCCATCTGTGCACACAACTAATGGCAGACTGAAAATATTTAAGAAAAAGTTGCATCTTTACTAAACATAGATTTTTCTTTGCTTGTCCCTAAATAATGTTCAGTATAACAACTAATTACATAGCCCCTACATGGATTTTCCCATCATTTAGAGGTGGCTTAACATCTATGGGAGGATCACGAAGGTTGTGTGTAAGGGCTGTACCATTTTATACTATGGAGCTGAGCCCCTGCATGGGGTCTTCAGTGATCCTTCTGCTTGATGATTCCCTTGTCCTTGCCTAACTGAGAATGTTAAGCCCACAGGGCAGGCATGGTGCATGCCTCGATCACACCTGTATTCCCACTAGCCAAAATGGAGCCAATGCACTCAACAAATGTTTTGCGGTGAACGAGTAAGTTAAATCCAAAGTGCCTTCTGGTGACACCACGGTTAGCAAATTCTTAACATTATTCCCTTGTAGAGCTACCAGCCTATGAGTTTGATTGATTGACTCTGGGTGGGAAAACTCTGGGTAGGAATGATTGACTCTGAGAGGACAGAACTGGAATAGTCCTGTGCATGCTATAGCTGTTCCCCAGTGACCCCAGGTCCTGGACCCATGATACTACCTTCCACGTCTGGGCCCATCATACTACCTTCTAGACCTCCCACCCAGACACAGACATGCAGGCCCCAAAGACAGCACTTGGAATAACAAACAGTTGCTCCCAGCAGCATTTTCCCTCCCTCAGAAGCAGACCAGGGACAGGAAGTCTTCCAAGATGAACAGGAATCTCATTTCCTATGAAAACAGTCCAGCACCTGTTCCCCAGCACACTCAAAATACTGAGCCCAGACTGAACTTACCATATAAATTGATGTATCTGATGCAGCTCTCCACTACGAGTGGTATAGCTTGTCCTGAATCCTTAAGAAAGAAAAAACTGTGAGTTTTATCAGGCCTGACACCCACAACAGGCAAAAGACATTAAAAACATGATTATCAAGTCAAGCCAGAAGATTAGTACCACGAGATTAGTAGGAAAACAAGCAAGGAACTGCTAATCCTAGTCTCCAGAAATAGTTACAACAGAGCCTCCAGTTAAGTGCAGAAAAAGGCATAGCTAGGTTAAATTCAAAGAAATGCTCTCTCTTCTTACCCAGCTGGCAAGAAAGCTGGGTTCACCTTGACAGGCAGGTTGGGGGCAGGAGAGAGGGGAGCCACTGTGGGGATGGGGCTGGAGCCTGACCTTGAAGGATGACCTGTCTCCCCACTCCACTTTACCCCAAGTCAACATCTCCTAGCGCTTGGGTACAAAGAGGCGGGATCACTGCCTCACCCCATTACTACAGTGCTGCATGTCAGAACCGAAGACACACTGTGGACAAAACAGGGCTGGCCCCCATAGGCCCTGTGGACCTCTAAGAAGAGAGGTTTGGTGGTCTTCATGATGTCTCAACCTAAATATCCAGGTGCATGGCATGTGGAGAAGTTCTAGAAACTTCTAATATCTGCCATTGGTCATCTAGTTGCTAATCTTAGTTCAAAAGGCTGAATAGGATGCAATTTAAGTACCTCTACCTGAGATATGAAAGGATATTCAATTACATCTTTCTAGATTGGTCTATAATTCCCAGTGGCTGGACAAGGTGAAATTTCATTTTGAGTTCCAGGACTAGGTGACCTCTTTATTACTTGAGGTCACTTAATGAACACAAAACTTGTTTTTTAAACTTCTTATAAAAGGCCACATTAAATTACTAGCCTCCCCAGAAGGCTAGGAAACAGTGAGGTGTATACATTATGCTCTTGAGAAGACAACAAGGATTTGGTGAGCTCTTGGCTCTATCATACCCCCCCACCTGAGAATGATGCCCTTGCTCAACTGCAGCTGGGGAGAGAAAGGGAGATGTACCCATTGGCAACAGGGAAAGACAGCCCTGTCCTAGAAGTCATTGGATCTACTATTTGAATGGGCTTGTGGCCTTTCTAGTAAATACCTGGTTCCTGGTTCGAGCATTTCTTCTTCCTCTGATAACAAAAAATAAACAGGCAGCAGAGCAGGAGAAAAAGAAAAGATTATGCAGGAATAAGATAAGTTAGAGTAAGCAGATCCTTCAGAGTCCGTGAATGCCAAAATGCAATGGCAGCCAGCAAAGGTCCTGGGGGATTTTCTGAATAGCCTGTCCACGGGGAGGGCCGTACCCTGGTCTCAGGGCCTCCTAGAACTTCTGGAGCTGTCCCCAGCCAGCCTTCCAATTGGCTGCCTTGCCTCTCCCAGATATCAGTAAAAGAGGGTCCCCTTTCATTCCTTGTCAACAAGTAGGAACTGTATGTACCAACCTCATTCCCAGATCCATGGCTAGTTTCTTCTCAAATGAGGGAGAGTAAGAGACCATTGAAGACCCTGTAAGACCATCTGCCTGCAGAAGGGACTCTTCATGCCTACATAAGCTGACCCCTAGAATTCAGGTCAGGAATCTCTGCTCTGAATCAAACATTCTATGTCACAGCATCTCCTTACATGGGATCCAGCAGGTCCCAGTTAATTCCAGACTCCAAACATACTCAACACCCTGACTAACTTTTTCTGGGTAGAAACTTGGATCTACTCACCTTCTCCTCATCTCCTCACTCTTACCCTGGCACTGAGACACTCCCCCTTCCCCTTGGGACACAGAACCTGGGAAGGGTCAAAATGAGTCAGAACACCTTTATGACCTTGAGGGGGTGGACTGGAGCCTCTGCTCTGACTAAAAGCCACTAAAAAAGACCTGTTGAAGGAGACTGTCTGCTCTTTCTGGTCATGTGGGCAGTGGCTCAGGCTCTGGGTGGGAGCTGAGTCTCATCCAAGCTCAGGGAGGGGGGGCCAACATGACCAAAGAATGTATGCCTTCCTGGGGCACCATCTGTCCAGTCCTGACATCGCAACAATGGAGACCATCTGCTTGCTACGATGACAGCAAAGCCCACCCAAATCCTGGAATGCAGCAACAGCCTAGTGCAAAGAGGTTTTGAGAGCAATGTCCTAAAATTAATAACAGACCAGGTTACATGGTGCTTACTATGTGCTAGGCATGTTCTAGAAAGGCTGGTGCATTAGTTCATTTCATCCTCATTGTAAACCCATGGGTAGGATTATTCTCATCTTATAGAAGCAAGATATAGACACTTCACTAAGCCCAGAGATGGACCTTCTGGGCTTCAAAATGGACTCATAATAAAAATGGGATCCCCCTCAATTTGAGAGGAGAAAAAAAAATTAAGGATTGCTTTATAAGGGGTTGGTTCAGGAAGAGTCCAGGAAATTTATTTTTAAATCTAACTCTTATCTATAAGAGTTAGGAAGGGAAATGCTCCCTTTATCTTGCTAAACCATCATAATCATGGCAACTGGGACTATTTGAAAATTTTTTCATAGACTGGGTTTTTTAAAACTGAGGATTTTTAGTTTACTGTTAGTTCAGCCAGCATGAGAATTCTAATAGAAACTTAAATTCCACTCTAAATAACTGAAGGGGTGAATAATCATACTGCCTTTATATTCTCTGGACATCAGTGCAAACTTGTGCTGTATGTAACTTGGATGAACTTGCTCATAGTAGGTACACTGCTGAAGTTGTTCAACTTAAATGACTGTAGCTAAGTACAGGGTCAGTATAAAGAAATGCTGTTGTATTTGACAAGTATTTTTTTTTTCCTAGTCAGTGACTATTATTCTTCTAACATGTCTGACACTCCAACAATGCTGGATTGTACCTCTCCGGAGATTTTCCTCCAAGCCAGTTGACCAGTGCCACGGTAGCAGATCTCCTCTTGCTATTTTGTACCTTCAGTGGTGTCACAAAGCTAAGCTTCAAATGGAGCTTTTGTTTGTTAGTAGAGGGAGGTATTCATGTGGGTGCATGTGTGTGTGCTGTATGCGGAGGCCAGAGATCAACCTCAGCTGTCATTCCCCCAGGCACCATCCACCTTGTTTTTTGAGCTCTTCAATTAGGCCAGGCCAGCTGGTAAAGGAGCCCCTGGAATCTGTTTAGTTCCCCAATGCCAAGATTACAAGTCTGGGCCACCATGTTCGGCTTTTTAACATGAGTTCTGGGGACTGAACTCAGGCTCTCATGAATGCATGACAAGCACTCTAACTACCAAGCCATCATTCCAACTCCCTTGAGCTTTTTATTCTGATGGATCCACCAGTATCCATTCTAACAGGAAGTTTTGGGCCCAGTGCTAAAGGCTTTAAAGAAGATTAGCCAAAACACAGTTGTGGAAATGGTGAAGTATTTAGAATAGGAAGCTGACTTCCCAAAGTAAACACCTGAAGGGACAAAGAAACACTGTGTGGTTGAATAAGCTCTAAACTGTTGATCAGGTGAGCAGTCAAATTACTTTAGAGTCACACTAAAAGGATATCCAATTCCACTAAAGACTCAATTTTCAAATATTATCCAATAGAGTTCCTTTAAATATCTTGACTGATTGATCTCCCATTTCCAAAGACCAGGGCAATTTATAGGAGGAGTCTGTGTCTCTGCTCTCCTTCCTTCTAGTTTTCCTCCAGGGAATCCTTCTGTCTTGCCGCTCTTTATTCCTCCCCATTCTTCCAAGCACCTTCCTGGGCCCCAGGTCATAGCTCTTCTTGCTCTGAATGCTAAGAATATGTTCCTATAGGACTTGCCTTGTGCTACCCTGCCCTCTGTGCTAAGCTCTGTGAGGCTAGGAAATGATCAGCCAGCTCTTTTGCAGCCTGGAAAAGTGGTTCAGCCAGGAGCAAGGATGAATGGGAAGGAAGTATAGGAGGAGAGAGAAGGGCATCAAAGAAAGAGCACTCTTTGAGGCACCTCATCTGCCATGGGTGGCTCCCCATGGGCCACATAGATCCTGAGGGACCCTTCATTTTGAGCCCGCACATGCTCAATCCTGAGAGGCATCTTAAGGCATCCCCTGCTGTCCTTGCCCAGGGGCAATTTTAACCTGAGTCTTCCTCTCCCACTTTCTCTTTCTCCTGCTCTTCTGCCTAAGAACCCAGTCCATAAGCAGAGGCATTCCTTTGCCACAGGATGATAACCTGCATCACCCCCATGCATGCTTGAGGCTGGCTTCTGCCTGTATGCAATTCTTCTTGGTCCTACAAGTCTGTGCTGACCCTGTCAGAGAAGAGGATAGCACTGGTGCGGGGCAGCCTCCCTAATTCCAAAATCTTTAGCGATGTGTAAGAGCCTTTCTTCTTCCTCTGACAGTCCTCTTTAGGACAGGAAGTGTCTTCACTGATGGGCTTTTAACTGGAAGCTACTTTCCTTAAGAACACAGCTCCCCTTCCTCAAGTACCCTACATCTGATACTCTTTGCAATTCTAACACCATCTATTGCCTTAAGCAGTTCAATCACGGCTGCCTTGACCTTGTACCTTCTGCACTAAATAAAAAAGGAATCGTAAACTCACTTATCTGAAATGCTCTAATTTTTAACTTAAGCGTGGTGTCGAGGGTTAACTTGGCACACCAGAAGGACTGCATCAACTCTCCTCCCATCTCTCAAACCAATCAGCAAGAAGCCCAACTAGGCAGAATGAACTTTTCTCATGAACTGTATGTGTTTCCTTTGCTGGTATATACTCAATGAAACAAACAAACGAACGTTTGGAAACAGGGATTTTCTTTGTGCTGTTCTCGGTCTCCTCTTGAGGATGTGAAATTGAGTAACGGGGTTTCCCTAAGCGCCCCTCAGGGTTAGGCCCCAAGCTTCTAAGCAGTGAAATGGGCTGGCTGGGACTGCTGTGCTGCAGTTCATTCTCTTCTGGACTTAGCTGATCAGATCCCTCCCCTGGCTAAGAATCATGGGTGGCACTTAGCAGTCATGGGTGAAAGACAAAGCAGCGCTGCAGGAAAGCCCTCACTGAAGCTAAGAACAGGCTGCAGTGAGGAGCTAGGTCCACACAGCCCGGCCAAGGGGCTAGTCTAAGTGTCGGCTGGGCCAGGGATGTCAGCTGGAAGGGGCAGGAGAAAGACAGGCTGCCATTACGTTGGGCACATTCGCGGACTCCATGGCTCCCCAGCAAGTACCTTAATGAATGCTTCCATACTGCCGTTAAAGAGTTTATGGCTATACACTGAAAGAGGCCTAGGTCTCCTCATTTTCTGTGGTTTAGGGGGAAGACAGGGGGGCCTAGGGGAAAACGGAACAAAAGAAATCAAGAAAGCAACCAACGTAAACATACAATGGGAGAGACGCTCTTCAAACCCACAATTGGAGAACACAAAATGCAGAAGGGAGCCCCGGCCCCCAACACATTGGTTTCCAATGTTCCATCTGTAGGCCTCTGGATGTTTTGGGGAGATCTTAGTTTACCCACAATGCCAAGCAGAAGCAACTTTCACAAGACACAAATGCATTCTATATTACGGGGAGATAGGATGTATCCAAGAAATCCCTGCAATTATCCTGTAGACCAGATGGAGGGGGATCAGGGATTAGAGGTGTCATCAATAGCCAAGAAAGCAAGAGACTTTCAAACACTATTGGGATGGTTAATTTTCATAATTTTGACTTAAATCCATCATCAAGACCTAATTCCCAATGTATTGGAACACTATTTTCCTAACAACTCTTGACATTTTGAAGGCATCTGATTGATTTTTATTTCATTGTTCTGAGAGCCAGACAGCCAGATGCCAAGAGGTAAACTGAAGCTTTTTTAAGGTCTGTAGGTATCTTGGGATGATACTATCCCACTTGTCAATCAAGAACACTTTTGATTGGAGCACTCTCAAATCTATTACCATACTTAACTCAGAACAGATGGCACTATTCTACAGAGACTGAGGCTGGGAGAGGAGAATCAGCAGAGGCAGGCCCCAATCTAGCTCTCTTCTGCTCCAAGTCCAGGGATTTTTTCTTCCAGGCCATGGTCATGGGGCTGGGGCCTCTTGTCATTTCCAGCAGAGGACCCTTCTGCCCCATCAGCCCTTGCTACAGGGGTGAAGTTGAGTGAAAGTGTCTTGCTTTCCTTTTGGATCTCCATTCCTGTGCTCTGCTCTTGGCGCAGGGAGGGGAAACCACACCACAGTCCACCAGGAATGATGAAATGGCCACAGACACCAAATGCCTGTCTGTGATTGCTCGCCATGCATATGCCTGGGTTGCCTTATTTGCTCATTTCACTACCCAAGTTGGCCTGACTCAATACTGCCGGCCTTCTGGGCAAAGGGCTTTTGAAGGTTAGGAGGAGGGTCTCTCACTAAAAGAGGGGGTTCATTTTCAAATGACTTCATTCAAATTTTGGGAGCAACGAGTACATACTCAGCCAGGCACAGATAAACATATAACAAGCAAGGACCTGTCCCTCCCCACCCCCAGTCTTGATTGATTTCTGTGGATGGGTGAGAATCTTTTTGGTTTTGACACAGGCTTTCCTGTAGGTCAGGCTTCCTGTAGTAGAGATTGACCTTGTACTCCTGGTCATCCTGCTTCTAACCTTCTCGGTGCTGGGTTATGGGCATGTACTATCACTCTTGGCATTAAGGACTGAACCCAGAGCCTCATGTGTTCTAGTCAAGTACTCTACCCACTGAGATACATCTTTATTTAGCTCACAGACAAAAATAATATGGACTGTGGAGCCAATCAAAATGAATGAAGGTCACACTCCCTCTCACTGGGCTTGCTGTACCCACATCCCTTCAGCAGCCCAGCCATCCAGGGCACTCCCCTACTTCTCCTAGGTGTTTGAGTGTTGAGCAAATGCTGCTAGTCCAGGACATGCTGCATGGGCAAAGACACAGTTGAGTCCAAATAACATGCCATCAATCAGGGGAACCAAACAAACGGCACGACCAAAATTCCGGAAAGAAACAACAGGCAAGACTATGTCCAGCCCATCTTGGATCTATGTCAATTTGGTTAGCTAAGTCCGTGTCATTTCTTTTTCAAAAGTTACATCTTTTTAGAAGATGTATGAAAGCGGGGAGGGGAATCTCTTACACTGGATCTGCTTTTGAATTTCCAAATGCAAAAGCCAAAAAAGATTGCCAAAAGCGTGACACAAAACCACAGCATCCAAATTTAGGGATTAGAAGCAAGGAGGATGGCAACATCCTCATTTGTTTTCACAGTGTCTTGGGTCATTTCTTTATTTCACACGATATCCTCCTCACATCCCTGAGAGGCAGGCGAGAATGAGTAAGCCATTTATGGGAGGCAAATGAGCCTACAAGAGATAAAGATTTTCGCCCAAGGTCACACAAATGTGATCCATCAGGGCTTGGAGCTGGATGCAGCTCTTCTTACTAGAAGCTTCAGTGTGAGTATGAAGTTAAGAAAGTAATGTCATCACAGAGCCTCCAGCAGGAGCATTGAATTGCCTATCAAACTCTTGTGGCTCACAAGAGTGGCGACTCTTGGCCTAGACACTGGAATGCAGCATCAGAAGCTCTAGGGTGCTCAGGTGAAGGATTTTCTGAAAAGAAGCCAGAAGCATTTCTGGGCTTTGTTTTTGTTTTTACTTTTTACAAAGCAGAATAAAAGGAAAATGGAATGTGCTTCCCCATTTTTCCTGCCCAACAGAGTTAAGGACAATGAAGCCACAGCAGCTTTCTTTCTTTTGTGGGGCACTGGGCACTGCCCGGAATCTCTGACAAGGAAACGTAGCTATCCCAACTTTGCACAACATCAAATCTGTATCACTTACTGGAATGCTGGGTGGGGCACAAAGTGGGGAGCAGGGGGACAGCTCAGCCAGGGAAAGTGGGGCAGCCTAAGCCTTCCATCTCTTCTGCTGCTCAGATGCAGAGCAAAAAAGGAAAGAAAGAAAGAGAGGCAGGGAGAACAGGAACATAGAAGTCCACCAGAGGAGGGAGGAGAAACCAGAGACCAATGTCCCCTTTCTGCTTTCAACCAGGATGAAAATTAGCACACATTGGCAACACGGGAGTTGGCCTCAGAATTACTCTGTGGCAAAAAGCATGTATGGTTAAGAATTGCCCCAGACAACCCAAAAGATGTGGATGTCACTATCCAAAATGGTGGCAATACTGAAGTTCAAGGGCAGGCAGGCACTTGGAAGCTGAGCTTGTGTGTGTAGTGAACTGCAGTTTGTTTGGTCATGATGTCAACCAATATCACCTCTAATCACGACCACAGGGTCATGTCAGCCTATTTTGAGGAGGTCAGACTTTCTTACAATCACAATAATTAAAACCTCATGTTTGTATCTCACTTTGCCATTTTCAGCATAGTTTAAATACACATTATCACATCTGGTCAGGCTAAATTCCTGGGTTAGTATGAATTGAGGCCATTCAAAAATAAGTCTTTTTAAAAGCGTGAGAAAATATAACATGCTGCAGCCCAGGGTCAAAAACTGGGCCATCTATACAAGGTCAAGAGCAACTTGGCTGAGGGAACCTTCTCAGATGATGGTCCCAGATGCCCCTGACTATGTGTAAGCATCTGTGGAAGATACCACTTAGGTACAGAGACCCATCACCCAGAGCCTCTGAGACTACTTTGAAAACCACTGCCAAGTTGAGAAAGAGGTGCACAGGTTAAACAATGACTTTGGAGGTAAGGGAAGGGTTTAGTTTACTATCACCTCTCACCTTGGCTCAGGGCCACAAAATATCTGGCTAGTCTGAAATTTAGTTCAGGGTACCTAAGTGGGAGGTCTGGTAATCAGCTTGGACTTCCTAGACTCTAGGTCAAAGAGGGTGTGGAAAGCAACATTTCAGGGGGTTTTGTTTTGAAAAAGAAAAAATATATATTCTGGGCTTTTCCTTGAAGGAGCAGCCGGAGACCCGGGAAAGGGATACTTATAGCTCTCCTCCCCTGTATTCTACTGGAGGAGGCGCCCTCTGCCTGAGTCCTAGGGATTAGGAGGCAGTGGTCATGGCCCAATTCATCTCTCATCTCTTCCACTGTCTGCAAATGATGGTATAAAATACAGTTTCCATTGTCTTGGGACTATAGTAATATCCTCCTACCAGAAAAAAATATTAACAACAATTTTGTTTCTGAAGGGATCTTCGAAAGTGACCTGCACATCTGTTGCTCCATATGTGGGAGGGTCCTTGCCTGTGAATCACCCGGATGTTTCCAAATTGCCTGGGCCCAGATGCACAGCTGGATTTCTAGAAAGCCCTAAGTCTCCAGATCAGCATACTTAAAACCCACAGCTTCCCCAGCCTCTGCTTTCCCAGGAGCAAGGGCGAGTTGCAGGGTCATCTTTGCTCTTGCCAAGTAGGACAGCTTTCCAGGATTCTATGGCAATGGGAAGAATTTTGGGGAAAGGAAAGAATGTCACTGAGTCACTGGGCCCAGAAAAACGAGGTGAAAAATAGTTCTCCACAGCCATGTATGATGGAGGGCAGGCTTCTGGGCCACTGGCTAAATTCATGCTGGGAACTTAGACAACAAGGTAGTGCCAGCTGCTTAGGCAGCTGAACCCTGTGAAAGGCAAAACAAGTCAACCATCAGCTCACTGAGAGCTGCTGAGTAGAAAGTGTTCACTGGCTCTGGTCTGCTCAGGGAAAAGCACAAAGGGAGATGCAGAAGGAGCTAGAAGGACGCTCAAGTTGCCCGTGCTACCAGCCTCAGCAGCCCATCCAAGTCCCAGTGAAGTCTAAGCCAAGATGTAGGCAACACAGGGGTCTGGGTCCACATCTGTGTGTATGCAGCATGCGTGTTGCCATCTCTGCACAATATCAGCCAGCCCCAAAGCCTCCACAACTGGGAACCCAGGCTGGACCTGGCCGGCCTGTTGGGCAATTGAGGCAGTGGCCTGCAGAGAGGAAAACAGCCACCCCACAGCCTGTGGCCTCTGTTCAACCACCCTGGAATCAACCACCCTCCCACTGGACGGGACATGCCTCATTCCCCCATGGTGCTCTCAAAGCCCCATCCCCATGGCCAGCCCGTAGGAGTGCGGCTTTGCTGGTGTGAAGCCAGAACAAGCGGTGCAGCCTCTGAAGCCACTGTATCTTGTCTCAGCACCCCAATACCCCCAGAGCTAGTGAAGACTGTCCAGCTCCCCTACCTCCCGGCAGGCTATGTCCACCCTACATATCCACCCACCCACCACATCCTGCTCAGACCTCAGGCAGCGTGTACAAGAACACAAGATTCCCCAACTCTTACCTGGTAGTGCCACACTCTGCTCTCTCCCCTGAAGAAAAAACAAAATGCATGTTGATGTTTAATTGGCTTTGGATGTTGTTTTAACCAGAGAACATTATTTTCCTTTAAATAAAAAAAAAATTGGAATGACCTCTTGTGTCCATTTATAGTCCTTCCCTATTCCTGCCCCAAGCAATTACTAATCTCTCTTTCTCTGCAGATTTACTAGACATTTCACAGAAACAGAATCACTCACCATGTGGTCTCCTGCTTCTGGTTTCTTTCACTTACCTTAAGTGTCTGGGGTCCATCTATATGACATGATTCAGTAGTTCATTTATGCTATGGCTGAATAATATTCCAATGTATGGACAGACCACATTTCCTTTATCCACTCACTAATAACTGCCCTCTTAGGATCTCACACCTTAAATGTGCTCTAGCATGCTCTCTTTCCATGTGTGAGAAATCTAGTCTTTTCTGTAAAACAGATTTATCAAATATATACCTGCTTCCTCTCTCCTGGATTCCTTTGTTAAGAACTACATATTTGGGCTGGAGAGATGGCTCAGTGGTTAAGAGCACTGGCTGCTCTTGCAGAGGATGTGGGTTCAGTTCCCAGTTCCTGCATTTTGACTAACAATCATCTGCAATTCCAGTTCCAAGAGATCCAGTGCCCTCTTCTGGCCTCCACAGGCATTGCACTACTTGGGGGCACTTAACGTAAATGCACACAAAACACCAATACACACAAAATAAAAATAAATATAATTTTTTAAAACAAAAAAGAAATATGTATTTGTTCAAATATTTGTTTTTCTTTTACATCAACTTCTCAAAATAGCCAATTATAATTAGATTGTGAGATTGAACCCCAGCCAATGAAAAACAGGCCAGTTTTCCTCTTGGCTAAATGGTAGAGGCCATTGTGACAAGGTGTGTTTGTTCTCCAGCTGTGGGTAGCTGTGCACCCTTCCACACAAGGGTAAAGTTTGCCTTGCCAGGATACTTTAATTTGAGTGGTAGTCTCTTGATTTGCAACCCCGATTTTATCTCTAGCAGGTGTCCCCAAACCATTCCTGTCCAAGTTTTCAACATCTCAGTCAGTGGACCACCATCCTGTTCACTTCAGCTGGAGGTGGTAGAACGGTACCTGAAAGCCTTTCCTTCTTACTTTCCCTCCTCCATCTCAACACCACAGTCTTAGCCCAGGCTCTCATCATCTCTAGTCTGCAACATTTGCTTTTTAAGTGGAGTTTCTATTTTACTACAATTCACCCACAATTCAGCAGACAAAGAAATATGTTTTTTGTCTTTTTTTTTTTGAGACAGGTTCTCCTTGTAGCCCCAGCTGTCCTCGAACCAGGCTGGCCTTGAACTCACAAAGATCTGCCTGCCTCTGCTTCCCAAGTGCTGGGATTAAAGGCATGTGCCACCACAAGAAATACTTTTAAACTGAATTATAATGTCTTTCCTTTGCTCAGAACTTTTCTAAGCTCCAATTAAACATGTAATAAAATCCAAGCTTTGCACTCTGTCTCCATAAACCTTCAGGTCCAAGGGAACTCTTGGAACCACTTCTCCATGTACATGGCCTCCTTTCTCCTTCAAGCACAGGGCTCCAGCCATGATCCCTTCTGCAGGGACCTCATGTTGGCCTCTGCATTTGCTTTCTGGGTTTCTCTCACCCCTGACACTTGCAAGGCTAGCTCCTGTTGGCCCTCTGTGTTTCAGCTGAAAATCTAGATCCAGAGCAGAGCTCCTCCATCTGAAATTGTCTCCTTAGAGCACCTCAGTTTAACTACTCTCCATACACAGATTGACATCAGTACCTTTTATGCCTGCAGTTTTACTTGTCTAACTCCATCAAAAAGCACCATGTGCTATGAGAGAATCATATCTGTTCATTGGGGGGAGGGGGATAGAACAGGCTGGCCTTGAACTCACTATGTAACAGAGACTGGCTTTGAACTCCTGATCCTCCTGCATCTACCTTCCAAGTATTGGGATTACAGGTGTGCACTGCCATGCTTGGCACATCTGTTCTTTAAAAAAATACTTATTTACTTATTTATTATATTTTATGTATATGAGTGTTCTGCCTGCATATATGTAAGTGTACCTTTGTCATCAATGCCCACGGAGGCCAGACCTGTCAGATCCGCTGGAACTGGAGTTATGGATGGTTGTTAGCCACCACATAGGTGCTGGGAACCAAACCCAGGGCCTCTGCAAGAGTAAGTGCTCTTAACTGCTGAACCATATCTCCAGCTCTGGTATGTCTGTTCTTAGAACTGCTATAGGACTGGAGAGATGACTGGGTGAGTAAAATACTTGCTGCAAAAGCATTTGGACCTGAGTTCAAATCCCCAGTACCCACATAAAGCCCTATAAAAGCAGTAGGGTAACAAGTGCCACAACACAACGATGCACAGGATGTCATCCCTGTAACAACACACAATCAAAATGATCAGAACATGGATCAAACTAGAGGGCAGTTTGGATTCTAGTCTATGTTGTCTGACTTCACATCTGAGCTTTGCCTGGGAACCTGGTTCTACCCACACAAACAAGTGAGGAAAAGCAGGTATTTCCAGCTGAATTGAATTCAAACCCAATGTCTCCTAAAGGCAGTACTTGGCTTTTAATAACATCCCTGGGCAGGGATGGAACACTCAAAATGAGTTGAAGCAATACGTTTTTCTCCCACTCAAACTGTACTGACAGTGCAGAGGTCCACGTCCTGATGTTAACTCCTCAAGTCACTGTGTTTGGGGACAGCTCATTTCCTTCCTTTGGTATTCAACATCCTTGGCCACATTATCTATCCAAGGTGCTATGGATGCCACATCTTTGGCCTTCACTTGCTGAGTATCAATAAGTAGGATTGTTTCCCATCACTGTGATGTCTAAAAATGCCCCTATTTCCCAACACCTCAAGGATAGAACTCCCACCTAACCAGTACTGCCAATAGAAACAATTTCTAGCAGCCACATTGCAAAAGAGTAAAGCAAGCCAGGTAAGAGGAATTATTTAATCATTTTAAATTTTAATCCTATCTAACATAGTAAAAATATTATCATATTCAATATATGTCAATATCAAGCAAAATATATTCTCTTCCCTATGTGCTAATCTTCAGACTCTTGTTCATTTCTCTTATCTCAGTGAACATTATCACATCTCAACCCATGTCTCAAGTATTCAACAGCGGTTCATGGCTTTCACCTTGAAGCCTACTCAGTATCCACATGGAAGTTTTTGCTTTGTTTCGTGGTTGTTTGTTTGGTCATGCAGCTCAGGTTAGCCTCAAACTCACTCTGCAACCAATGATCTTGAACTTGTGATCCTCTTGCCTCCACCTTCCATGTGCTGGGATTACCACACCTGGCTTTTTGTTGTACTAGAAATGGAACCCAGGGCTTCGTACATGCTAAGCAAGCATTCTACCAACTTAACTATATTCCAAGCTTACAATGGGGTTTGTAAAGAAAAGAGCCTAGCACTTGTTTTTTGGTTTTTGTTTTGGGGTTTTCTGTTTTGTTGCTGTTCTGTTTTGTTGTTGTTGTTGTTGTTTTGTTTTTTTAAAGACAATGACATAAGGGCAGGAAGATGCTAACCTGATGTCTGAGAATAGAACACGGAACAAACTGACACTGTCCCTGACCAAAGGCTTTGGTGGTCACAGTGGTAACTAAGGAGGGCTGTACTAGAGCCAAAGACCCAAACAGGGAAGGAGAGAAGTTAGGTGAAGCCAGTAAATTTGTTCTGCTTAATTTGCTTGTGTTTCTGGGGTCTGCTGCAGATCCGTGAGATAGCAGTTTGAATTAAATTTTCCTGCAGAGACCTGTTAGAGCTTATAGCATCCCTTGAAAGGGATGGTCTAGGATTATTCTAAATGAGGATGACCAGCTATAATGTCACCATTTCCCTCAGGGCTGCAGTCGGCTGTGACACTTCCGACAGAGCCGTCTGCAAGGTGCCTCCTACTGCATCTCTTCTTGGTTTCTGAACTATCCACTCTTCCATGGGCTCCTGGTGGTCCAGTCACACCATAATCCCTTATTTCTCACCACCATTTCCTTTGCCTTGATGCCCTTTCCTCAGTCTCTGCATGGCTGACACTTTCTCAGCCTTCAGGCATAGGGTGTACCATAAACCTGATGGTAGGCCCATAAGGCTATTGTGGAACAGAAAATGCTTGTCATCTACTGACATCACAGGCATCATAAGGCCATCATGATGCAATGCATTTCTCACACCTGTAGTGATGCTGGTGTGAAGACCTACTATGCTGCCATCATACAAAAGTAGAACACATATAATTATGTACACAGCATATTAACACTTGGTAATGATGAGAAGTGACAGCTTACTATTTACACTACTTTAAAATGCATTGTTTCCACTTTTAAAAACACAAGTTTACTGTAAAGTAGTGCAGTATGTTACTCTTGGTTACATCATTTTCTCTGGTACCTGATTTAATGTCTTGATGTGACCTCAGATATATCATGTAGTCTGGGTGTGCAGCAGGCCAAGTCATCTAGATTTGTGTCAGAACGGCTTATGATGCTCACACTGTGGCAGGCTTGCCTTATACTTCTCAGAGTACTTCTAACATACTTCTTAGTAGTGATCCCCACCACTAAGTGATGCCTGCATACCGCTCATTGACTGGGGTACCTCTTCCTTGTGACTGTGGGACCTCATTTGTCTGCATGTCATGGTGCCCCCACCCCCTTTGGGCCTGCCAGAGCCTATGTTTTTGGATAGATGAGGAGACAGTGAGGGACAGACAGGAGTTAGGAACCAAAGGGTTTAGGATATGGCTTTGCATGCCAACACACACTCAAGGCAGACCCTCCTCTACCATCCTTCAGCTTTCTACTTGCATTCTAGCTCCCTAGAAACCCATTACCAACATCTCTTTAGGAATATGAAGTCTCACTTCTAACACATGACAAATAAAAAAGTCTTGTCCTTAACCTTCAGAGACCTGTTGAGATTTTAAAAATATATATATTATAAAATATAGTTGGTGCCTGAGTTCTTGGGGGACTATTTAGCTCTATAACAGGCTGTTAAACTTGAGCCCAAAAAGGTTTTGTTCCATCAGTGAATATGCTTGAAGATCTTCAGCAAAGTGGAAACCCACCAGCATCTTAGATATAAACACCAGAGCTCACAGAATACCCAAGCCCAGATCGGCAGAAAGGTCTCAGGTCTCAGGTCCACAATAGCCAGAGGCAGACTGGGCATGTGTTCTCACTCACAAACTGTGCCCACAGCATCATTTGTAATACCAATGCCAGTCTGCTAGAAACCTAGCGGCTTGAAAAAAACAAAACAAAACTTGTGCATCTGGGCTCAATCACATTCAAAAGCTCACTTGTAGGTAAAAATAATCCCAAAGAATTTGTGCTTCCCTGGGTTCTTTGAGCCATTCTGTCAAAGAAGAGCTTTGGAAAAAATGAACCACAACATTTCATTAAAAAGTGGCAGGGGTGGGGGTGGGGGCTGGAGAGATGGCTCGGAGGTTAAGAACACTGACTGCTCTTGCAAAGAACCCTTATTGAGTTCCCAGCACCCACATGGTGGCTAACAATCACTCGTAACTCCAGTTATAGGGGATCTGATGCCCTCTTCTGACCTCCATGGGCATTGCACTATAAGGATGCACTTATATACATGCAGGGAATACACTCATACACATAAAATTTTTTAAAAAATGAATAATTTTTTTAAAAAAGGCATGAGTCTTTTGGGATAAATATTCCTTTGGACCCATAGTTCTCACCATCTAAAGTTTTCACTTTATACCTCCCAATACAAACTAGCTCTCAGGCAATAGAAGAGGACCGTGGATGAAGGTGTAACTATACACTAAGCCCACTCGTACTGAGTGGGAGAATCAAACTGCTCAGGTGGAGGTGAGGTGACTCCTTGCTTAAAATTCAGAAGGGAATGGATTTGGTACTGTTCTGAGCTCTGCTTAGCCTGCCCAATTTTTCCATGCCTTCCTTTACCCAATGAGCAAGAGTTATTCAGTCTAAGTTAAATTCTCCTATTTGCTAATTCTCTGCTTTCAGTCAGTAACCACAACGTACCTTTATTGTATCATACATACATAAGAATGAATAGATTGGTGCCAATTAATTCAGTTTTTTTTCTAGTAATTCAGTCACTTCATTAACTTTAGTTTATAATAATGCGCCAAAAATAGGGCTGTAATCCCAGGACTGGGGAGGCTGAGACAGAAGGATCAGGAATTTAAGGCCCTCCTTGGCTATATGTCGTTTGAGGCCAACATAGGCTACATGGGACACTGACTCAAAAATATATATATATATACATTCATTAATTGTGACATACCATACTAAATAGAATGTTAATATAGTGAAAACTGAGTATGAACCATTTGAGAGAATTTCTCTATCTTTCTAACTTTTCTGTAAACTTAAAACATCCTAAAATAAAAATTCCTACTTAAAAAAAAAGCTTCTCTAGAACTAAGCTGCCTTCCAAGAGCTGTCCCCAGTATCAAAGGAAGCACACTGGACTTTTTCATGGCTGGCTCACTAGAAAAAAGCATTGTGGGGCTTCTAGATGACTCTTAGCAGCTCCTGTACTTCTTAAACAACATTTTCCTAAACCTGTTCTTGCCAATTGGCTCAAGACTCAGGAAAGGGGCTGCAGAGGTCACATCTTGGACTGAGATACAGTTGAAAAAATCCTGGAGGACCAAGTGGACCATGGGCCATGCTGACCAAAAAACTGCTATGATTTTATTACGGCCTCACAGGCACTAATAGAAGGTTAGCACTCGGAGGGGAGCAGGGGAGTGGAAACTCTTTTGCCTCACAGTTCATGGGCCCATCCTGGATCTTAGTTTTTAAAAGAATACTTACACCGGGCGTGGTGGCACACGCTTTTAATCCCAGAACTTGGGAGGCAGAGGCAGGCGGATCTTTGTGAGTTTGAGGCCAGCCTGGTCTACATAGTGAGTTCCAGGACAGCTGAGGCTACAGGGAGACCCTGTCTCAAAAAGCCAAAAAAAAAAAAAAAAAATTTTTAAACCTAGAGAATCTAATCTCAAAATCACAAGTACCTTCCAATTCACACAGATCTGCCTCTCCAATACCGCTCCTGAGAAACAGTCCCTGGCTCCGGTGCCATAAAAACCAATCTGCCTCAGGACTGGCTCAGTGGTTAAGAGCACTGGCTGCTCTTGTAGATGACCTGGGTTCGATTCCCAGCACCCACATGGTGGCTATGAACCATCCTTAACTCCAGTTCGAGGGGAATCCAAAGCTCTCTTCTGACCTCTACAGCAATGCATGACACAAGTGCACTCACATACATGCCGGCAATACACTCATACACATTAAAAATAAAAAAATCTTCCATTTTTACTGCTGATCTCCTAAGCTGCCTCAACACCTATTCCTCCAAGTTCCTCTTGGCTTTTGTCTCTCTTCCCTTCCATTCTTGCTCTGCTTCTCTCCTTGATAGCTGCACCCCTGCAACTGTTCTCTTTAAGCCCTGGCCCAACACTGAGATGTCAGGATGGGAAGAACTTAGAAGGATGAAGGAAGAGAGCTCACTACAACTAACTCTTCTCACACCTGCAAGCCTAGCACTTGGGGGGCAAGGCAGGATGGTTATATATTTAAAGCTAGCTTTGTCTACATAATCAGAACCTAGGTAAACATGAAAAGGAAGAAGGGGATCAAACGTATTGGGGTAGAGAATGGATGAACTGACTTGCAAAGGGACATAAGGACACTTTTTTAGTCGTTTGGAAATGTTTTATATTCTGAGCTGGATGGTGGTTCCACTAGTACATGCAAAGGTGACAGGAATAAGCTTGGTGAGTTTTAAGCAGTGCAGGCTTGCCCAACCTGGCTGGAGCACATGAGAAAGAGGGGACTGTTGGGTAGGGTCAGAGAAACAGGCAGAGACTGAATGATAGAGGGAAGGCCTTGTGTGCCTTGACAATAGCTGTTTTTTCTCTAGTGCCCTTGGAAGGCCTTGAGTGGCTTCAAGCCTAGTTTTCTAGTCCTTTAAGGACTAATCCCTACATTTCTTCTTTGACCTAGAAATTTGGCCAGGCCTTCCAGTAGTATCCCTGGACTATGCTGAGAAACATCAACGCTGGTCTCTGTGATCTTTGAGTCCCACCTCCTACTTCGGGGGACCCCTGTATCACTCAGCCTTGTCCCTTCCCCAGCCTACACTAAAACTGTGGTTGGGCTCTATTTTCTGCAGACATATAGAACCCCTCTCAGCACCTGTACCAAAGTGATTTTTTCCAGCCTTCCCAGTGAGGACACAAGGACCCAGGGCTGATGTCTCAAGCTGAAGTGGCTCAGCAGCTCTGGGCCACAAAAGCCCCTCCTGGGCCTTCAACCACCTGACTCACCTTCACCCAGCGTCTGCTTGAGTAAGTCGTGCTTGGCCTGTAGCTTGGTGATGAGGTTACTGCCATTCACATACTCCTTAAACTTCTGTAAGACACACAGGCATGAGGAAGTTACAGAGTGCACGGCTGAGTGATGACAGGGTCTCTTCCTCTAGAACTGACCTCTCAGGTAGGGAAACCAAAGGGAGATCAGGCCACCTGGGGACCTGCCATGGAGATAGATAGGCCTTTTACATCTGCTTTGAGCTCTACTGAGTAGTTGTCCAGTCCTGGGAGGTCACCTGGCCTTGCAGGTAGGGTTGAGCACACAAGAGGCTCAAGAGAATGACCGCAGTAGAGGCTGCTTCTGTCTGGTGAGGGCTGTGTGCAGCACAAGGCAAAGGGCCTCTTTGGTCACCAGAACTCTGTTAAGCTTCTTGGGCCAGAGCAGCAAGGAAGGGAGCCATCCAGAGGACCAAGCTCAGGCAGAGAGCTATGAGAGCAGAGCTGAAGACAACCTTTCCTCCATCTGGTCCCACTCCAAATGAGGGAGGACTGGGGCTGCTGCTGAGAAGTTTTCTACCAACAGTGCCTACACTGCATTGGGGGTATGATTTTCTTTTCTGGGTAAATGAGATAAGGAGGCAGGCACAGAAAGTGACTTTCCCCAAGTGCCACAGAAAATGGGCCAGGATGCACACTAGCTGCTTTTAAAGTCACGGTATCCGCAAAAATCCAGGACACTGTGAGACGGTGTCAAGGGATGGAGAACCATCCAGAACAGCTAGTTGCTACCCACTGACATGGGCTTGAGCCACAGCTCTATACAAATACCCAGCTTCCTTTGTCCCACACCCCCCTTGACCTACAGCATTAGAACACAGCCGGGTAAATGAACCACAAAGTAAGAAAATGCCAGTGTGTCAGATGGTGGTGAATGCTGTGAGTAAAAGTGAAGCAGGAGGGACTGGGGATGAAGCTGAGTTGGTAGAGTGTTTGCCTGGCACGTATGAGGCCCTGGGTTCTATCCCCAGCACTCATAAACTGGGCATGGTGGTATACTCCTGTGACCCCAACACTCTGGAGGTACAGGTGTGAGGATCAGATGTTCAAGGCCATTCTTGGCATAGGAAGTTTGAGGTCATCCTGGGCTACATAAGACCTTGTCTCAAAAACTAAGAGATGAAGCAGATACTCTAGCTGGGAGTCCAGGAAGACAGCAGTGCAAGGTGACATGGGAGTCAGGGCATGAAGTAGGTGGGGAGAGGCCTGGCCTGCAGAGGGATGGCATTTGCAAAAGCACTGAGAACCAAGTTAGGGAGATAAATGTAAGTGTTTGAAAATCAGCTGAGCTCTCATACAAAAACCCACTTCATTGCCCCAGCCAGTGCATCCCAACAGGTGCAGAGAGAAGCCAGCCAGGGAAGGCCAGGATTGCTACAGTTTGCCCTGAAGAGTCTGTAACATCACCATCTTCCCATTTACCTAAGTGGGTTTCTCCAGTGACTGGGAGGCTGTGGTGCCCTTGCTCTTTCTTCATGGACTTTTCTTAGCTCTGAGGATCTGGCCATTTTGTCATTTAGACTACAGCCCTGAGTATCTGTAGAGCACTTCACAGCTATACACACACACACACACACACACACACACACACACACACACAGTAGAGCTGCCCCACAATCTTGGATGACTAATGGAGAAAGCATTATCCTCCTCACTCTACATAGAAGGAAACAGAAGCTCAGAGATGGGCTCCTTACTGTGTGACCTCAGGTAGAGTACAGAATACTGGAAGCCTCTGTTAGGCCTCAATGTGAACTGAGAGTAGACCTATGGTGTTTCTCCAAATGTGGGCAGAGGATCAGCAGCCTTGTCACCAGTTGGAGAGACTGTCAATGTGTAAATTTCTGTTCTACACTACTTCAAATCTAACCCCTCACTTCTCATTTGGGGAGGAACCACAGAGGCCCAGAGTGTCCAAGTCCCAGAGCCTTATTGATAATGATGGTAGTTGAAATGTTTGCATTTTAAATGAGCACCCTAGGTAATTCACACCCTTGCTTCAGTTGGTAGCTACTTGACTGGCAGGCTGGCCATAGAGCTTCCAGTGATACCATCCTTTGACTTTATCACATGTCTAAGAATTCAAAAAAAGCAAAGTAGAGGTGCACCTATGCATACATATACACAAAAGATTGATGATGCCTGAGGAACAACATATGAGGTTATCCTGTGACTTCCACACACATCTGCACACACATGCACATATCTACATACCAACATGCATACACATATACATATATACATATACATATATACACATACGTATACACAAAAAGGGAAAAAATAACGTCTTATATATTTCAGTCAACAACACTAGATTTCTTTTAAGCCCAAGAAGCTGCACTTTCTTCTGCTCTTACCACCCAGATTTCTTACTTCTGCTGCTGCCAGAGTGAGTACTTATCCATGTATGTACTCATTGTTCTGTGGAGACAGTAACTTCTCTTTTTGAACACAGTTGGCGTCTAACAGAAGTGGCAAATGCCAGGCGTCACCAAGATTAGTTTGTTTTCTTTCTTGATAAGGTTAAAGAATATTGATAGAAAAAATGAGGTGTGTGCCAGTATTGATTTGTAACAGGGTTTTGATAAGGCTTCCACAAGGTAGAGTTAGTTGGATGCTAGAATTGGATGGGTCTGTGATAGGTTCAATGAACATAATCCAATCAGCATCAGCCTGGCTATGTATTTCTAGCAACTCAGTTGCCAGCACTGGCTCTGGCATTGCCATTACATTTTCTTGTTATCAGACTCCAAGATACTGAAGACCATGTCCCCCAAATCTACACATGATAAAAGATCTGAAAAGAGTGTGGGGGTTGAATGACTATATTAGGATACTGACAGTCTGGAATCATGAGATGAATCTATCAAGAGGAGAGCTCAGTGGGGACCTAGCTAAGAGGTCACCACAGGACCTTTAAGAGGACGGAGGCCTGGCTGCACATAGGGAAGGGTGTTAGCTGATACTACTACCTCAGTTTCCAAATAACAAAAACAAAGAATATGGTCTTAAGGCATATGAATAGGACATGGCTCCTTGCATGGAAAAGGTAAAAATTAAGCTCTATTCTGTGGTGGTCATGGAGTCTCACTTTAGAAGAGGCACTGACAGAGGAAATGGAGTTGCTGGGGTGCTGAGGCTACTCAGAACAAAAACTTGTAAGACAAGACTGAAAGAATCAGTGCATTTAGCCTTGAGAAAGGAAACCGCAGCTCCCTGGAACCAGGGAAGCACTATCAAGTAGAATTAGCCTCACTCTGGGCCACCAAGGAGAACAGAATCAAGACCAATGGCCAGGAGTCCTAGGGCAATAGATATTTGAATACAACAAAGACAAAGGAAAACATCATTTCCAGTGCCAGCCACAATGCAAGCAGAGGGGTGCTTTAGGGAAAGAGAGGTGTTAACTTGGGACACTTGGGCAGAGTTCTCATGAGCTCTTCATGGGATGTGCATCAGATGAAAGATAAGTCCCTTCAGCCCAGTCTCCATGTTCAATAAGCCCACTTTGATCCAAAGCCTCAATTCCCTTTCTCCTCTCTGCCCTTGGTCAAGCTGAAGGTCACTAATCTAGGATCTTATAGGAGGGACTAGCAACCTGTGAGCAACTTGCTTGCATTGCTTCAGTCCCTGCTACCAAAGCTTACTCCCCAGCTTAAGACAATAATACAAACACCTAACTCTAGGGTTGTTACATGGAGCTCACACCTGACTCCTTAACCACATTCCTCTAACTTGTCTGAATAAAACTCTCTCTTCAGTTTCTTCCTAAAGCAGCAAAGTTTCAGTGACCATCACCCAAGATCAATGTCAATACCACCCACCCATTGGTGGTTTACTGCATTTCAGTAAACAGGGCCAGGCAACCTAATGTTAAAGGCATGCTAGAAGATTTATGTTGTATTTTCACTAGCTTTCCCTCATTCACTCAGATTGCTCCACAAAATCCATATCCAGGGGACCAGCAGACAGTCGGGTTCTGGGTCCTGGATGCCACTTACTGTAAAATAAAACATTTCTGTTTCCTGCTGGTTGGCTCTCCTTTTGGCAATGTTGATCTTGCTCATGTAGGTCTCAGAAGCAGCCGACTTTATGGACTCTGTAGAGCGACTGTGTTGGAAGGCGTCAGAGACATCAAAGTCCTCCACAGTCAACATATCCTGTAAGGTCTGCATGGTGGCATCTAGGGTTTTTCTAACCTAGGGAAACAACATATTCCCAAACACCCTTTACCATCATAATGCCTTGGACACCTCAAAGTCCTTTTCTCAGTGGTCACTTTGTTCTTTCACATAAAGACTCTAGAAGGCAGGCAGGACAGGATACTTGCTCCTATTATATTGGTATGAAATAAGGCAAATTAGTCATTGGTCCAACACCAAATACCTGGCTGGGTGAGAAGCCAGATCATCTAATCTAAAGTCATTTTTATTGGATTGCCTCTGTTTGGAGACTGTGGGGAATGTCCTGAGGAAAATGGAGCTGAGTTTCTAGGCTTGTTTCTTTGATGTGATAGCCTGAAAGTGGCTCCTCCAGGGAGAGGCAGTCACTTGAGTAGGACTAGCAACAGACATGCTCCGGCACTCTCTTTTAGGGGAGGGAGAGGACCACATCTACATGATGGTGGTCAGCAATTGCTGAAGTGATCCGTTCTCTCCAGAAATCTGTTCCCCGAGTCTCTTCAGAAGCCACCTGGGACCTTGAGGAAAGCAATTACTGTAGCAAGGTTTAGTTGGGACTCCAGCTTCTCTCCCAGGACCCAATGAAACCATAGAGACTACAAAAGCACTGTGTGAGGACCCCCACCTCACAGCACCCGTGGGATGAGTGGTTTCTCAATTGCAGAGCCTGTACTCTGATAGAAGGTCATTCCAAAAAATGAGTTATGGGGAAAAATGGGACTCCATTTGATTGTCACTTAAAATCTCTTTCATTGCTCAGTCCTCAGCTGAAATGTCACTTTTTAGGACATCAGGACCCAATGCCCTAACTTAGTGTCTATCAGTTTCTGTCTAGCATTTCCCCACACACATCCATTGGCTTGTTGTCTTTGTATCTTAACTTCTGGTGTTCTCTCTCTAGAAAGAGGAGGAGCTATGTTGCTGTGTTCCCTCACTTTATTCTCAACCTGGAATGACTTTTTGGCATGTAGTACATGCTCAGTAACTTTGTGAATAAATATTACTTGAATAGATACTTATTGAATGAATAAATGAGTAAACAAATCAATTCTTTTTTCCAACATAGATTGGCAGGAAGTTCAGATTCAAGGTTAGGCATATGCATGCTCATCAGTGGCCACACAGAGAGGGTCACTTGCCTCATCCTCCTTACTGATTTCCATTTAACTACCATCAACAGTATTATACATATGGTGGCCCATGTAAATAATTTAAAATCCTTGAGGAAGTGAATTAGAAGACAAACCGAAAGAAAGAAAACAATCTACCTACCTCCTGCCTCTGCCTCTCACCAGGTTTGAGAAATAAATCTTTTGTCTCCCTGTGACCTCCCCTAGAATTTGATTTGTATTGTCCTGAGATATAGCCCATCTCAACTCTGTCCTAGCTCTGCCCTTTGTAGATGCCAGGGATGGCTGTCCCTACTGTCCAGGGCAGCCTTCATGACGACTGAAGACAAGCCTTCTCACTTCCCATGACTGCACTTCCTGAGGATACTCTTGTCCTACAACCTTGAGTGGCACTGCCCTGGGGTACTTTCTCCAGGGCCCCCAGTTGGCTGACATCCTACTCAGAGGGCAGTGTCTAGGTCTCAGTAGGACATTGTCCCCTGGGCCTCTTTGGTCCACATCAGAATTGGCCCACCTTTACTGGTACTTCCATCTGCACTCACCCAGGAATGATGCTGGGCCATTCAGCAGCATGGGAGGGACACTGGGCATGGTAAGGATGGTCCATTCCTTGGGCGTATAACACACAATAGGGAGGCCTGGGCTATCTATTTCATTGTAAATTTTAAATACTTACTCTGACTTTTGATGATTAAAAACATAAACTCATTGCAGAAAATAGAAAAAAAAGCACAAAGTTGACAGTAATCATCACTAATCCCACGAGTGAGATGGAACTACTACTGTTCGGATCCCTATACATTCTTCTTTATGCCTTCAGCTAACCCTAATCATCATCATTCTAAACACAGGGTCCCACTTCTTCTTGTTTCCCCTTCACTGGAGATCTTGTGAACCTCCTCCAGATCATCAAAGATTCTGGGTGCAGGCAGTTTGCATGGCTGTGGAGTCTCACACCTTCCAAATGAAACATCATTTCCTATGCATGCTGGGGCATAAGTGGACCCCCCAGGACAAGCCCCAGGGAACCATGCCAACAGCAGCAGCTCACTCACCTCCTCATTCTCAATCTTGAGCGTGGCCAGCCTGGACTGCAGCTGGTGGTACCGCATGAGCAGCTCCGTCTGGACCGGCTGCTGTGCACTGACCTGGCACACCTACAGAAAGAAACCCTGTCAGTGCAGCTGCCCATGACCTCCTCCACCCACATGGAGCCAGGGTGGGGGCTACCATTAAGATTCCGCTCAATGCCCAGGACACAGCAAGAACAAGGGAGCTGCCCTGGGTCACCCATCTGAGACACAGTAATGGCAGTACCAGATGGGAGCTAGGGTCTTCCTGCCCAGAGTCCACCCTCCTGCCATGGCCAGGGTGGCATCCCAGTCACAATCTTCCGCATTTGTGCAGCACTTGTGGGTTTACAAAGAGTTTTGACATAATCTAGGCCAAACTAATCTCAAGGCAGGAAGTTGTAAGAAAGCAACTTCTTGAGCAGCCAGTAGAAGTTACAACAAACCAAAAGCAGTTAGCAAGTGCTTCCATGACCACAGGAACACATAAAGATACGTCAAAGAGACAACTATGGCAATCACATGGTTGGCCCTCCATGTCCATGAGTTCCATGGCCACAGATTCAGCCAAACAAGGACACAAAGTATACATGGAAAAAAGTTGTCTCTGGACTGAACATGGATGTTTTCTCCTTGTCATAGTACACAACAATGCATGGCATTTGCATAGCATTAGGTATTCTAAGTAATGTAGAGATAATGTCAAGTATGCAGTTCTTTGTAAACACTGCTATTTTATATAAGTCACTTAAGCATCCTCAGATTATAATATCCCTAGAGTATCCTGGTACCAGTCACCCATGGATACCAAGGATAACTGTGCTATTCTCCCTGAACCATCCTATCTAAAACTGTTATGACCTGTGGGCTAGCTACTTGGCATGCTCTGGTATCTCACCCTTTCCAGGATCATAAGACTAATAGGGCTCCATTGGTGAGGTACTTACTCACCACTAACTCAGCAGCCCAAGCTTCATAGTAGCCAGTGACAGTCCCAGGGCCAAAGGGAAGACCCGAGGCAGGCTACCTCAGGAGGCACAACATCACCCTGCAGAAGTCCTCTCTCATGCAAATGAAGGAAGTGGCAAAGCCATATGGAAGGTGCAGCCACTTCTGTCTTCTAAGATGCCTTCTCTTCATCAGGTGTCACAAATAGCCCAGCTGAGCTCCCTCTGGGCTTCAGAGGCTGGCTGCTTCTACTCTTCTGTTGTCCTGTACCTATCTATTCCCTAACTCCCAGAAGGAAGAATGACCTAGAAGTATAGGGAGCTATGTTCTACATCACAGATTTATAGACCACGAGGACAGTCAAGTGTCTTCTCCCATTTTTTTTTCATCCTTAAGACTACAGCAAGGATCTGACCAGCATAAGGATAGAAGGAAACTCAGCTGTCTGGTGTATCAAGGGCTCACAGTACTAGAAAAGGCATTGTGTGAGGGCATCTATTGAGACAGAAGACTGTTTTTAGGTAGACTGGAGCATCCTTGAGGACTTCTAGACAAACCTACGAGGCAGCCTAAGGAAATCCAAGGTCCTATAATTCTTCAGATGGTAGACTTGAACCAACAAAGCAAGGGTATCAGCTGAAGAAGTTCAGGAATCAAGAGCCGACCTCGGACCCCTGAGGTAAATACCCTGTATGTGCACCCAGGGCTGGTGTTCTCCCACAATGCTCCAGGAGCATGGGGGAAAAGCAACACCTATGGTGTTAATGTGCACACCCCTCCCTACAAAGTTCAGGTGTGGGAAATTTATCCTCAAAGTCATGTGCAAATGGCAGTTGGAGTTGGGGCTGCTGGGGAGTGACTAGGATTAGATGAGTTTCTCAGAGTAGACTCCTCATGAGGGCATTTGTGGCTTTGTCAGAAGAGGAAGAGAGACAGACCTGATTTAACACTTTCTCTGTCTTATCATGAGGTACCTTTACAGTGTCATGATACAGAAGGAGGGCCCTTGCAGTGCCAAGCTGAAGGCAGTGCCATACTTTTGGACCTCCTAGCTTCCAGTTCTGGGAGCTAAAGAAGCCTCAGATTTGGGAATTTTGATTTGGCAATGGAAACAGAACTAACACATCCAGCCCTAGGCAGGGATCTAGCAGGAAACCTACCTCATCCCCCATGTGAGGCTGGAACTCAAACTTGAGTGGAGGGCAGAAGACCTGGTTGCACATGTCCATGACTGTGTGCTTGTCACTCCGGGAGTCCAGGTTGTCCACTGCATTCTCAATAACATCTAGACCCTCATGTCTGGAGGTTTCCAGGTTATATTCTGCTGAGAGGTAGGTCCGGAAAGTGCGGGCCAGGCTGGCATGAAAGCCCAAGTCACAGCACTTGGGAGAGGCAAAGACAGGAAGATATGGGTGAGAGCTAGGATGGTGGTGGTAGATGGTAACCTATGGTCATATCCCCCCCCCATTCTAGAGTGCTTTGGAGTCCAACTGAAAAAGCTGTATCACAGCCCCCAGAGTTAGCCAAGGACTGAAATTTGGGTAACAGCAATACTTTTCTCCCCAATTCACCACACTCTTTCATCCACAGGCTTTCTCACACATGCTCTCTGCCTCAAATGTTTTCCCTTTGTTTTTACCTTATTGGTTACTTTTGCTGGAAGCCTTCCTTAATGTTCTCCATTTTGGTCAGGTGTCCCTCACTCCAGGGTCCACATATCCTCCACCTCACTCACTGTGACCTTTGCCATTTGGCACTGTAATTTCCTATTAACATGACCTCTGCAGGGCATGTTCCATGAGGCCTATTAGCTCTTGCCCACAGCTATACCTCACCTCAAATCCTAGACTCACAGCAGGTACTTAACACTTAAACACTTGGCAAGCAAACAGATGAAAAGGCTGAAAGAGTCAAAAGGAAAGGTAGCAAAGAGGAGGGGGCCAGCCTTAGGCCATTGAAAGGCTCAGCAGCTCCCCCTTGACTTCTAGAATAGGATACACAGGGCCAGCGGAAAAGGATCCAGAAACCAATATACAAACTTTACTAAGCACCTATGAAGCTGGATTCCCCATCTGCATAGGAAAGGAAAAAGGAGAGAAAGAGTCCTATCTTTAACATGGGTGACAAAGATTCTCTCCACATCACTGCCCCTCACAATGACCTTCTTCAAGCCTCCAGTGAGCCCAGCTCAGCTGGCTCCCAGAGTCAGTATTCCACTCTTCAATGATTAAACTGCCTCATTCTTCCCAGGGGAACATCCCACAGCAAACTTCCATATCCTTCTATCTCTTTTTTAGGTCTTCATTCCCAAAGTGTGTGCCTGGCCAGCTGACCCAAGGGTACTGAATGTATGACTACCTCTTTTTTTTCCTGTACCAGCAGCCCCTAAGTGTGAATTGTGGACAGTTCTCCCATGTGCCCTTACACCCAGTAGGTGCCCTGATGTAGAGAAGGGGACTTTGGAAGATGGTATTGAAAATCTAACTTCCCAAGCCATGCAGGACCCACCATAGTTCACTTCCACCTGTGGAAGTCATGACCATGAGATAATTCATGTCGCCACCCCAAACAGTTCCAGTCCTTCTCCAGCAGGGTTCCAAAAGCTTGGCCAGCCCACATGTCAGCTGAGCCCCATGGCCAGCCCTGTTTCCTCTCAGCGAATGAGATGCTCCAACCTGGATGTGGCTCCACCCATCCCCAGGGTCCCCAGGGTACTCACATCAATGAGATCAGAGACATCATGGATATAGTATTTGCTTATAGCTGCATTGGTGGCTGCCAGATTCAGCAAGTAGTCATTGCGGGCTTTTGTGCACTTGAGCTTGTTCTCAGAATATTTGGCCTGCCTCTGGAGGGAGAAGAGGTAGACATCAGATCCAAGCCAGCCAGGGGAACGATCTGTGATCTTCACAGGAATGCCTGCTAATAGGCCCAACCTCCCACCTATGGGATGCCTCTGTGCCGAGATATGCATATGGACCCTGTATGCAATGCACCTTGCACGACACAGGTGAAGTCAGTGATGATGCCATCTGATTGATATATAACAGCCTTTACGTGTTCTTTACCAAGTAGAGCACAGATAAGGCATCCCACCCTCAGCACCCTCCAGGGGCTTCCAGAACTGCTGCAATGGCCCAGAGGTCCTTCATGATCTGGCCCTCAGCTACTTCTCCAGTCCTATCTTCCTAGTGTCCCCTCACCAGTTCTTTTGTCTATCCTTAAAAGACCAAGTTTACATCTGCCTTGAGTCCTTCAGACTCCTCATGGTCACACTGCTGCACCTCCATGTGTCTGCTCCTTCAAGTCACCTGGGTCCTTATCCAAGGTGACAGTCACACAGGCTACTGAGAACAGCCTTGATAGAAATGCACCCCTAGCATCTCTACTCCCTAGTGAGTTCTCTGGTCTGTGTTTTCATAAGAGCTTTGATTTCTTGTTGATTATCTATGCCCCCCACAAAAAGATGAATGCCATGAAGTCTGGGCTGTGGCCTACTTTGCTTTGGGTGGTAGATCTGTAGTACCCAAAACAGGCGGACCAAGTTAAGTCTTGGGTTATTTTTGAGGAAGGGAAAAGGGGAAACAGGGGTGGGAGGGAGAAGAAGGGAGAGAGCAAAAAAGAAAGAGAGGGAGGGAGTCTGAGTATAAATGGTAGAAAAGGTGGAGCAGAGCAGCTTCTTCCCTGGGCCAGCCCAGCAGGGAGGAGTGGAGAGTACCTGCTCCTTTCACTCTGTGTCCTGGTGCTGGGTCTCCTTAAAGAAGCTGTGCTCTCTCCCTTCAGCTAGGTGTGTTTTCCCCTTCCCCATTCCATAAGAAATCTAGCTTTGGAGTAGAGTGGCCGCATCACCAGCCTTTCAACTCTCTTTAGCGATCTTTTCTGGCTTGTGCCAGGTCCTCTTACACTGGGATCATTCAGTATATGTCTCCCAGCAATTATATCCTGTGCTAGCCAAGCACCCCAACCCCACTGAGAGCTTGGACACACCTGGTCCCTTTCCAGGGCAGCACTCTGACCCTGAGGCCACTCTCAGCCCTTCCTGGATTGACTTCACTTTACAATTGGAGAGAGCCATCATGGTCTTAATTGAACTCATCTCTTTATAGGTGAGGAAATGAAACTGAAGAAAAGCAGCTTGTCCAGGCCAAGTGGCTAATTAGCATACGGCTCTGCACCAGGAATGAGCCCCTTGGATCCCAGCCAGTATCCTCCATCCTTCTATTTCCCCCTACATCATAACCCAGTAATTCTCCATCTCATTATTTTCTTTATTTGTACTATATTCATAGAGCATCTATAAATTGAGAACATTTGCATCTCTGAGAAGCTCTGCACCTATGAGCACACACTTGTCATTCTCTTCTTCCTTAGCCCGAGTAGCATGCTGTCTCTGGGGATTCATCCATGCTGTGGCATGTATAAGGACTTCAATCTTTTTCATGGCTGAGTTATGTTACATTGTGTGGGTAAGACATTCTACTCACCCATCCATCAGTAGGCAAACATTCCAGTTATTTCCATCTTTGGGCTACTGTGAACAGTGCTGCACTAAGCACCCACAGACAATTTCCTGTATAAGTATGTCTTCACTTCACTGGGATAGGCACCCAGAGTGGTACTACTGAGTCACATGGTATCCTGGTCCATGTATACTAACATCTGAGGGGAGGCCAGATGACCTCCCACGGTGTCAGAATCATTCACATTCCCCCAGCAGGCGCCTGCATTTGCACATCCTCACTGCTGCTGCTCCCCATCAGCCTTTCTATTTCAGTCCTTCAAGTGGCTGAGAAGCAGTGTTTCATTATGGCTTCGATTTGCATTTCCTTAATCACTAATGATGCTGAACATCTTGTTCTGTATTTATTGACCACTTAGACATGTTCTTAAGAAATGTCTATTCAAATTCCTTGTCTGTTTTTGTATTGGGTCTCTGTTTTTTGGCTCTCTCTCTCTCTCTCTCTCTCTCTCTCTCTCTCTCTCTCTCTCTCTCTCTCTCTCTCTCTCATCTCCTCACTTTCAGTATGCACTGGAACTTTATTTTATGTGCTTCTATGTTTTCCAGTTTATCCAGATCTGTTGGGTTTTGCTCCACCTCAATCTATGATTTTCAGAACTGAAGGGTCCTATAATCACAGAATTAGGCTCTTAGAAGCCCAAATAAACATCTGGTGCAGTGGCTGGCAGTTATAAAAGAGATCTGCAAATGTTTCCTGGTGGCATGAAGTGGATGAGTACAGAGAATTCAACAAAACGATCACAGCCTTTGAAGAAGAGACTCAGAAGTCACAGATGACAGAAAAGCAGTCTGTATCCTGCCCTTCCAAATTCCCTGGCCACAACAGACATCATTAAGTGATCACAGCACCATTCCAACTAAACCTGGATAGGGCTTCGCAATCCTCAACAGAGCACTCTGGGCAGCCACTAACAATTGATCAAAGCTAACATGAGAAAGGAGACTTATTTGTGTCACAAATTGAAAACAGGGATTTGAAAACAGACTCAAAGAGGTGGAGAGTGTGACATTTAAAAGCACAGCCAAGTGGATGGAGAGACATTTAGTAGATAGAGGGCTTGCTGCACAAGCATGACGACCTGAGTTCAGATCCACAGTACTCATGTAAAAGGTCAGGTGTGGCAGCTCAGACCTCGAACCCTCCGGGGTAGGAGATGGAGATGGGGCTTTGTGGCCAAAAAATCTAGCCAGTCAGTGAGCTCCAGGTTCAATCAGGGACCTTGTCTCAAAAAGTAAGATGGACAGCAAAGACTCCTGATGCCAAACTCTGTCCTCCTATGCACACACGGGTAAGCAAAGCTGCACACACACAAACAAACCCAGTCCATTGGGTACCACATCTTGAGCTCCCTCTGTGCCTGCAAAAGGACTTGGCAGCCTGTGCACAGTGATTTTGAAGCTCTGGTCTTTGACTTCACCACGGTGGCTGCAAAATGGGCTCTTCGCCAGGCTCTCAAGTGTGCCCTAGAAGCCCAGAGCAGGCCTTGCCTGTTGAGACACACCGAGTCCCAATCAGTCCTCTACCTCAAAGTGGCCTAGGGAACAAGCCCACTAATGTCGGATAATTCCCGCTTGCCTGCCCATCTGAGGATATGTTTGCTGGGCTCAAATCCAGTCACAGTTTAGATTTCTTGTCAGCAAAGGCCTCTGCTGCCTGTTGCTTCTGGCAGTAGGCCAGGGTGATCGGCTGGAGGGCACATGCTGGCAGTATCACGCCCCTCACAAGTGGAAGGGCAAGGCTGTAGCTAAGCACATGGCTCTCTCCTGACAACCCTGGCTCCCCTTACCTTTTCCTTCATCTTCTCAATCTTTTTTACGGAGCTGCGGCGCTGGGGCCGGTCCTCATGCCTGAGCAGGTTCATGCTGAGGTCTCCTGACTTGTTGAACTGCTTCTCCTCCTGCTTCTCAGCCTCCTTCAGCTTGGTTTCTGCACTGATGCTCTCTGCATGGTACATGTGGTAGGTTTTCATGACCTGGAAACACATAAGTGGGAGAAACAGCAGCCTGTCACAGCCCAGCATGGTCTACCCTGTGGCTCCTGGCTGGACTCCAAATTGTCACGGCTGTCCCTGCCTCCTTCCCATGACAGGCTGAGCACCCTAACTTTTTTACTTTTGTGCAGGCTCTCTGAGGACTGGAAATGAAGATGCTCATTATGAATACCATGATTCATATACCATGGGTGACATAATCATTGCCCTCATCATCATCATCATCATCATCGTCACCAACATCACCATCTGTGAGACTCTGTTAAGTGTCAGGCATGAGCTAGTAATGGGGAAATTAAGAGGATTCACCACAGCCCACAGGTGGTATGGTCAAGCTTGGTCCTTGTTAGCTGTCCTCTCTAGGCCTGCTAGCTGTGACCCATCCCTTCCCCATCCCTTCCCCAATATCCGTGGGAAAGATCGATTCTCATACTCATGGGATTTTCTTGGGGAACCTCCTTCTTATGGCAAATCATTCTTTCAACTATTTCCTTGAGTAAGATAGGCTTTGCAAATGGCTCTGTTATTGTAACCTAATAGGTACTCTGTGCTCCCTGGCATACACTCAGCCTTGGCTATATAAAGAATTCCTATGAAACAAATTCTACTTTGCTACTTGACTTCAATAACAAAAACGGGGTATTATTAAAGCAAGGGGAAAATCTGAGCCTGAAGTTTTATCCTGAAACCTTTTCCAAACTTGCAAAGCAATCCATGAACATAAAATGTAGTCAGCACTTCCTCACAGATCTTGAAGAAAGCTCTTCTCTGCAGCCCACCCATGAGGCTCACTTGCAGTTTCCTTAAAGCCCCAAGAAACCCCTTCTTGTTGACTGTATCCACTCCCTATACCAGCTCCAGTAAGCTCTTTGCATACAACTGCACATGCCATAAAGTGTCTTACTGGTACATTCCAACATCTAGTGTCTGGAGGAATGGCAAGTAAGTAGAGCTGCTGGACCACGGTTTCCAGCAACAAAATGTGGTGAAGAGTCAGGGGTGCCTGCTCTGTTCTGTCTCAGGGTGTCTACCTTTCCCTTATTGATGTACATCCTGTCCCTCTATACTCACAGACACCTAGGCAACTGCTGCTGTTTATATCCAGACCCTACCCTTCCTGGGTCATGATTCCTGCTACATGCCCTTTTCCACGTTTGCTTTTGGGTGTCCTTATCTCACCAGAAGCTTATCATCTGTGTTGGGAAGTTCACAGGGAAGAAAAAAAGCATTTATCTTTGTGCCTAGATCTTCCTGCTCAATCATCCATGTATACATCTGTCTAACAGGGCTGCATCCCAGCTGGGTGTTCCCACTTCCCACATTTTCTTCTGCCCCAATTTCTTTCCCCCAACTTTGCATCATTTTCTTTCACTCTTTTTGAGCCACACAATGTTCCTTCTGTGCCTCACAAGCCAAACTTCCCAAGATCCTCCCTGGACTATTCTAAGATTCCTATGCATGAAGAACATGGCCCGGAGAACCCCGGGGCCCAGCTCTCTGCAACCTTGGTTATTGCTGATCCCTAGGATAACAGTGAATTGAATTGCACAGGGTGACATGTCAGAGTTTACTTGGGGGATTCTCTGAAATGAGTTTATTTATACCAGAATCCTCAATGCTACCCTTATGTAACTATAGTCGTCCTTTGGTATTCATGGAGGGTTCATTCCCAGAATCCTCCACAGATGCCCAAATCTGCAAATGCTCAAGTTTCTTATTAAAAAAACAGAAGCATATTTGCATAAAGCTTAAGCATGTCCTTCTGTAGACTTTAAGTCATCTCTAGGTCACTTACAACACTTCATAGAATGTAAACACTGTATATAGTTGCTATAGCAGGCTGTTTAGGGAATGATTACAAAAAGAAAGTCTGTAATGTTCAGTACAGACATAATTTTTCCTGAATATCTTCTGGGTAGTTGAATGCATGGATACAGAACTCATAGATACTCTGGACCAACTGGACCTGAGACCTGGGCTTCAGAAAAGGAAGCCTTAGCTCATTTTGCTAGAAGAATCGTTGCGAATTCAGGATGTATTAAGCCATATTTAAACTTACCTACCACTTCAAAGTTCACAGACATCTATTATTCACTTCTATTGCTGGAAGATTTCAGACCATCCTTTGTCTAATACTGGGGGTGGTGTGATAGCAATTACAACAATGACAGCAGCTGAGGTTTGCTAAGCAGGTGCTATATGCCAAGCCTTGGTCTAACTGCTACAAGCAGTGCATCACTCATGAAAACCCTGTTTGGCTCAGCAGTTAAGAGTGTTTACTGTTCTCCCAGAAGATTCATGTATGGTTCCCAGCACCCTTGTAAGGCAGCTCACAGAACCTGTAACTCTAGTTCCAGGGGACCTGATGCTCTCTTCTGGCCTCCACAGGCACCTCAACACACACACATACACACACACACACACACACACACACACACACACGCATCTTTAAAAAATCCCTATGAAACAGGCACCCCATGATCCCTGCTTTACAGGTGAGGATCTGGATAGTTCAGTAAATTTCTCAAGGTCAAAACATGACCAGTGACAGAGTCAAGACATTGTTTATAATCATAATTCCTGTACTAGAGCAAAGACAGGTCGCCATCAGGTATCACTATGTATTTGCATGCATGCATGAATGAATGTGTAGCTGGATGGATCGATGGATGTGGTTGGATAGATGGGTGAGTGGAAGGATGAAGGGATGCATGGATAACGATGGAAGGGAAAGAGATGAAAGAGAGAGAGGAGGGCAGGAGTGTGAGATATGCAAGATACAGTTCTACTGCCTCTAATCTGACATTATTTGGGGATTAGGAGATCACCACACCCTTAGTCATTAAATATTTATTTAGTTCATTGTGTCACAGGTTCTATATTAGGACCTATACCAGGAAATGCTATAAGGTGTAAGACATATGGAGTCTCATAGAATATATACATCACAGGGACATGGGCTATTTTAGAAGCTACTATCACGGGTGTCGTGAGCACTGTGATGAGGGGAGTGCAGGTGCTACAGGATGACTTCCTAGAGAAGTGATAGCTAAGCCTAGCCTTGAAGGAAGAGTCTCTTTTATCTGCTTGAACAAGGTTTGGAGCGTAGACAGGGTCGTGGATGAAGGGACATTTAACCCAGGAGACGCAGGACCAAAACAGGGCTAAGAAATAGCTTATGCATAGAAGAGTATCAGGTGACTGGTCATCACAGCCACTGCCTTATTTCCCCCCACCCACCCCTGGCCTCCTGCTCTACCTCGATATCCCCTCAGCAAACATCTGTTGTTTTTCTCTGCCCAGGCTCATTCAGTCCTCCTTCTCTAGTAATAGCTTCCTGATTTTCTTTGAGGAAATTCCCTAAATTCCCCTCCATTTTTCTCAGTCCATGAAGTTCGTGGGAAACTGACATTACCTCTAACCCTTGGCAGTGGGCATGAAACACAGGCCTGCCAATTGGTAAATATTATGGCAACCTGGTCATAATGACTGGGGGTTCATGATCTCAGCCAGACCAATCAGACCAATCAGATGCAACTCTAAGATTTTGCTGGGAACACTGAGAAGAGAGCCACTGTGGCATTAGGAGGAGGGAGGCCAGTCGAGAGGGGGTCAGCTTGATAGGAGGAGCCTGAGAGATTACAAAGCCCATAAAGAGGAAAACAAAACCAAAGGGAGGAGCTACAGGCTGGTATCCAAAGAAAATGGATAGATGGATAGATAATAGATAGGTAGAAGATGGCTGAATGGGTGGGTGGATGATAGATGATGGGTAGGTGGGTAGGTAGATGGATGAATGGTTAAGTGGAAGGAAGAAAGGGAAAGAGAAAATGAGGGAGGGAAGGAAAGGAAAGAATGGAGGAAGAGAGGGAGGGAGGAAGGGAGGGAGATAAAGCCAGGGAGGTGAAGTTCTATTACTTCTGATCTAGTGAGTGTGTTGAAAAGGTAAGGATATGCCTGAGCCCTGTGCTTGTCATCCAGTAAATAGTCATGTTCATATAGCTGGTGCTGTGACTTGAATGTGTCCCCCAAAGCTCAGGTGTTGTGACGTTTATCTCCCATGCAATAACTCTGAGAGGCGATTAACGTGGCTACTGCAGGAGTGGATTGGTTATCACAAGAGTAGATTTGTTATAAAAGTGAGTTTGGTCTCCTCTCCTGCTTTTGTGTTGGTCTTTTCTTTTTGTTTCGAGTAGCTGGGATTACATTACAGGCCTGTGCACCCCCACCATCCCATTTTAGGAGGTACTGGGGGTCAAACCCAGGGCCTCTGGTATGCCAGACCAGAACTGTACCCACTGAGCCACATCTGCAGCACCTGGTCTCCTGTTTTCTGCCATACATGATAAAACAAAAAGCCCTCACCAAGTATTAGTGTCATGCTTTTGGACTTCCCAGATTCAGAACCTTAGGCCAAACAGCCTCTATGCTTTATAAATTGTCCAGTCTCGGGTACTCAGTTATAACATCACAAAACACTAAAAAAGCCCATCTTTACTGGATTCCTGACCCTTGTCATTAGATGAGTCTCAAAAGGTAGAACTTTCAGCTCCTTAACTATGCGTATCAGTCCTGGTCTCAACTGGCCAAGCTGAGGGTAGTGATCCATGAGTAATGCTGGTTGGCAGAGCAGAAGGATCCTCCTCCCCGATGCCAGCAGCTGCCTCCCTGCTGTTTCTTGTTGCCCTTGCCCCTCTCCACATGTTCTGATAACACATGAACACATGCCCTTGCCCCTCTCCACATGATGCCACCTCATCTCTGTATTCTTTCTGATGTCTGAAGACTTCATTAGGTCACCCCACTTCTCACATTCCCTCACACTGTGTCAGATCCCCACAGAGTTGCCATCACAGTGTCCAGCCACATCTCATCATCTACACACAGATGAGCAATGTGAACATTTGGGTGAACAAGCACCTCATGGGAGAGCTAGGAGAGGAGAGGAGGCTGCCCAGAGGAAGGATTCAACTCCCCATTCC